TGCAAGAGGAGGAGAAGGAGGAAGAGCAAGGTAATTAGTGAGCGAATAATGCAATCATCTGTTGATTTCGCGATCAAAAATTGGTAAAAAGAGATAGTTGACAGTTCAAAATGGTAAGGGACATTTGGTACATTGTTTACTAATTTGTACTTTTTCCTTAATAGGGGTGGGCGAAAGTGGTAAGTAATTAAATCTTAATGCTAAATAAGATGAAGATCGTGTTAATGATTATTAATAATATACTTTTGTCTATCTGTTGACGACAACTCAAACGTTTAACAACAGGCTTGATGAAGATCGTGTTAATGATTATTAATAATATACTTTTGTCTATCAACTCAAACGTTTAACAACAGGCTTGATGGAGAGGATAGGGCGGTTGGAAGAGACTCAAAAAGAGATGGGAGAGACTCAAAAAGAGACCCTGAATCTTCTAAAGCGTCAATTCGACGATAGTCAAACGTTCAGCTTATCTACTATGAATACCCAGAAAAGGCTGAAGCTTTGTGCGCGTTTCGGTGTGAAACCACAAGTTGAAGTTATAGCCTTCAACAATTTCGAAAGAGTTGACGATACGCCTTCTCCATTTGTGTGGCTCGAGAATGTCAGCGAAAATGATCATTCTGAAGGATACATCGACTACATACAGAATACTTTCCTCGGAGCCGAATTTCTCACCGGTTATCAAGTGCTAGACGTTCATAGCAACCCTAAGTTTTGGAAGAATGGGATCGCTCATGGTACAACAGATGCCGTGGTGATTCCATCGGTACCAAAAGCACTTAGTCAGAATGTGGTAAAGCTAGTCTTTGAGCTGAAGAAGGTAAGTTTATAGTGAGATAAAGGTTCCTTCCAATTAATTCAGACTTCACCAGTACCATATCGTTTATTATAGAAACCAAGCCATTGGAGAATTGATCGCGTCAAACGAGATCTCATCAAAGAAACCAATAGTCATGCTTACAGACTTTTCCTCGACTTTCAACTTCTATTGGATTGGTCGCTCTCGAGATCAAAGCACCACTCCCGCCGTCTATATGACCAGTTTTAATGACGCTTCAACATTCGCACGCGCCTTGCTGGCTCCCGATCGAGTGGTAGAACATATAGCGCAGGAAAACCGAGATAACCTACCTCTCGATGAAAAAAGAGTTGTGATCATGGAATTAGTGTACGATGAAACTGCAGATGATGATATAGCCAATCTCGACGATTTCGTAGATGAAATGGAACCCGAGGAGCGTGCTTCATACGAAATCACAAAAAAGCTCAAGAGATTCCGACCATTCGTACCTCCGACTTTTCGTGAATGGTACCTACCAAACCATTTCCATTAGCGTGGTACTTGTAATACAGATGCTTATACTCGATGATAAATTGCATTTCCGAACCCACGAACAATATCTTAGAATCATCCAAAATTAAATCTCTATTTAGAACTGATTTATGTAATGGTTGCGTTCTTTAATTTATAATAAAAGTAAAAGAACGCGAATTAATACAATATAAAAAACTTGGACCATAGCGAGACTGCATAGGAGGGAAACTGGTGCACCAGTGGAAGTCAGCTCCAAAGCTTGCCCGAAAGCGATGACTACCCCCTATTCTCTCGTCCCGCTAGGTTCAGCGTTATCACTATTCTCCTCTTCTACCTCTGTATCTAATTCCCTCTCATTATCTACCCATAATCTAATATAGTTTCTTCCGTCGGATTTCTAGTAAGACGCTTGTGGAATTTCCTTATAGTGGCGTCTCCAAGACGCTGGCCCA